GGGGGGGGGGGCTTTTTTTTAAATCTGTTACTTTAATTTTTAAAATGTGTTTTGTTTTTTTACACTCACCATTATTGCTATCGCATAGTGGGCTAACGAGCCCTTTATGTAATAGCAAATATAATGTGACAGGTCCTCTTTATGGAGACATCAGGGGACTTTTAGACCCCTAATGTCACATAGGGACCCCAAAGAAGCTGATGAAGCAGAGATCTACTTCACCAGCTTATTCTTCTTATTCTTATTCTCTAGGAGTCAGAGAATGTGCCCAGTGACACCGGAAGTGATGTAATGCACATCACTTCCTGGTCCAGTGATCAGAGGAGAGATCAGTGCCTGGAAGTCTGCTGATCTCCCTCCGATCTGTCAGGGGGGATCAGTCGTGCCAATCCTGGGCTCACACAGGGAACAGTGGAGCCTGGTAAGCTGACGGCTCAGTGGAGCCCGGTAAGCTGACGGCTGCACCGGCGGAGGGGGGACAGGGCGCCGCATCGTTCCAGCGATCCAGTGCCTGTACAGATGCCAGATCACTTGTATTTAAACAGAAATCGCTGGCTGTTTAAATCGGTGCCAAGAAGCAGCAGCAGCCGTGTTCTTGGTATAACCACTTCCAGCAGATGACGTACATTTACGTGACCCCGCTGGAAGTGGTTAATTGATACAAGGGGCCTCAAGTGCGGCCCCTAACATCATACAGGAGATGGTCAGGGACTGCAGACACGTGATAGGAGTTGTTGCAGATGGGGGACATGCTTTAGGAGACAGTCATGGACTGTCATGGACACATTACATGAGACTGCTATAGATAACATATAACAGACTCTTTACAAATCAATGCTTCCTCATGTGTGCTCACTACAGCCTACTGTTAGTTTTAATAGGACAAAGTGTCTGAACAGTTTATAGTGAGTCAAAGTCTGCAGGATCCAAAATACTCTTCTTACTTGTATTAAAAAAATTCCCCAAACAACGATAACATAGACATTTGAATCTTTAAAATGCAAATTTTAAATTTACATAAGAAAACATCACAAAAACACATTCATACCTTGAAAAGTTGTGCAACTGAATACAGTCTGAGTTTGACACAATTGCTTTAACACAGGATTTTATTTAAAGTACAATATACTGCATGGAAGTGCCAGATTGCTGCTTGATTCAAATTCTGATAGGCAGATTACCTGTATAAAGCTTCAAAAATATCCTTTGAAGAGACTCCAAAAGCTCTTTCATACTGGCTTCTTCCTTCTCTGAGATACAAGAACCAACATTATTTGATTACATATATGCAAAACAAACCATTATATTAACTCCTTTTCATTTACCTAGCATCTCTAAAATTGTACACACATTCCACATTTTCAGTGTACCAAAAGCTGGTGCCTTCATCTGGAGCAAACTGATAACAGCATATTCAAAATGTATCCCATTATATTTAAAGAAACTTATAGAACTTCAATAGAACACTGTTTGCTTTACTTTAAAACTTTGAATTGATGTCTTTATGTTTCTACCTAGGCTGTAATAATCGTCATGGCAGGGATTGTCTACAGAGAGCACGGTTCTGTGATATTATAGGCAATGGGACATTTCAGATCTGTGTAGTCACCTGCAGTACGGTGTAGTCCATCACGGGAGCGAGCTTGGAGTGGTGGCTACTTTACAACACACATATGGGCCATGGGGAACAAAAGTAGCCATCCTCCAGAAGGAAGGACAGTGTCAGCATGAATTCAGAGATGATTTGAGGATCTATAGCTGAGTGACACACAAATAAGGTACAGTTTTGTTCACAGTTAGGGTATGTCAGGATCCAGAGCACCCCCAGGTGGCGCTGGAGCCAGGTCCTGTAGTTCCTGTGCTCGCCTGTGGGTGTCTCCAGCAGCCAGGAACTGTCAGGAACCTGCAGCTCCAGTACTCACCTGCAGGTGTGCCCCAGCTGTGACTGATCATCCCATCACCTGGTGCTTCCTGGGAGGGTATTTAGGCCCTCCCTGCAGTCAGGAAGCTGGCTCAGTATTGCGTTGCCTGCACCTGACTGACTCACTCCCCTGGCTTTTGACCTGCTACCGGAACCCTGCTACCAGAACCCTGCTACCGGAACCCTGCTACCGGAACCCTGCTACCTATCTGCAATCCTGTCACCGACCTGGCTTGTTACCCGACCACTCTCCTTGAATCCTGTTCCTGTACCGTGCTGCCCTCCCGTCACCGACCCGTCTTGTTACCCGACCACTCTCCTTGAATCCTGTTCCTGTAACGCGCTGCCCTCCTGTTAACGACCCGGCTTGTACCTGACCACTCTTCTTGTATCCTGAGGCCTGCCGTATATCTGCAGGCCTGTTACTCCTCCTTGTTGCTATTCCCCCTGGCTGTAGGTGTGTGTTTGTCCCAATGGTGGGTTTGTTACTTCACTGCTAAACCTGTGGGGGTTGAGGGGGTTTGTAGTTTTGTTGATATGTAACAAATAAACTGTGTGCATAGAACCCTATCCTGTGTGGGCATATTAATTTGGTCATCCTGCGTGGGTACCTACATGTGGTGTGAGGACGCCTGTGCATGGTACCCTGACAGGGTACTTGAATGCAGAGCCGTAGATAGCTCCTTTTGCGCCCGAGGCAAGAACAGAAAATTGTGCCCCCACCAACAGACGTGTGCGGTATGCGACTTCATGCGCCCCGCCTCCAGGATGGAGGCGTGCAAGTGCAGAATGCGCTGGTAACCAAATCCAAAATAGCATAAAAATTTGTTTAGTTTGACGAAACTAATGAAAACATTTTTAGTTTCTGTTCATTTCGTCCGAAACTAATTTATAGTCTTTGCACATGTATAGTAATATGTGTGCATGAGTGTGTGTGTGTCAGTGTGCGTGTGTCAGTGTGCGTGAGTGTGTGGGGGGTGTTTTTTTTAAATATTATTATTTTATTTTTTTACTGTTGGGGGGCTTTGGGGAAATCCCTGACATTTACCTTTTGAAATAGAAAAAGAGATTGAGGACACAGAGTCCTCTGCCCATGCAGGTGGGGGAGAGCAGTGGGGATCTGAGGAGAAGCTGGAGCCTGTGCCGCTCCTCTTCTCCCTGCCGAGCCATGTTTGTGTTGGCCTCCTGGTTCCTCTGTTGCCAATGGCGCCCTGTACTCGAATGACAACACGGGGTAAGGGGGCACAGCCAGGCCGGCCCTGGCTGCACCCCCTCTCAGCTGCGCCTGAGGCGAGTGCCTCACTCGCCCCATGGTAGCTACAGCCCTGCTTCAATGCATTTTTAAGATTTAACTCTTGAGTTTACAACTGTTACATAGCAGTGGAAAACAAATGCAAAGCATATAAAAATTATAATGAGCAAATATGGTTGCCCCATGTGCATATATACTAGAAAACTGTTCATATAAACTTTGAAACTGTATATAAATCTAAAAACCATTGAAAATACTACATATTCACTTTCAAGACTCTACCTTACAGCTTGAGGTAAGAATTGCCAGCATGTATACATGGTGTTGGAGTAGTACATCATCATGTGGTATAGGGACTTTGGACTTGATTTGACCAGGTATACTGCAGAAACATCTGTGTTAGAGTAATAAGCTACAAAAAAAAAGTGTTAATTTCTTAAAAAACTATTGGCAGGCATGTCATACATAAAGATAATGAACAAATGTATTAGTTGTAGACATGTTAAAGCCAAACTCTCAAAGAAAAAATATTTTTGGATAAAATAGGAAAGGGTTAGAATGTCTGGTTATTATTTATATCTCTACTACCCATACTGTTTTCTATTTTCACTGTTCACCATACAGGTGTATTGGAGTGCACTGTGTAAAAATTCAGCATGTCACAACCCAAACAAATTGCCATTCTGTACAGATGCTTAAGTATATCTGCTAATTTGAAGGAAATAAAGTGATGTCACAAAGTGATTAAATAAATAGATGCATGCAAATACCATAGGTATGTTCATTTGTAAATATGCTTTGTGTTAATTGTGCAATCACGTATAACTTTTCGTGGGAAGGCTATATGATTAAAGACAATACAACTGTTTCCACTGCATTTATATTATTTCTTTCCTTTAATACACAGTTCTTAAAGCAGCACTAAATCCTCTCCTTTTTAAACAGTAACACATTGGTATATAATAAATATATAAAAATCTAGCGTGGGACAATAAACAATTCTGGCCACGAAGTGCAGAAGCATTTACATTTTAGTCTGTTTCCAGCCAGCTACCTGAACACAGCTTCCCCAAATTTTCGGGTGGGGAAGCATGCACTCACAAGTCATTATTAAACACACCTTAGGACTACATACCCCATTATTCTCTGCCCCTTTTTCATTCATAAATTCTGCCTGGTGCGAAGAAGTAGCCTGTGCCAACATGCACAGGCAGCCAGGATTACACACAGAAGGCATGTCTCTGCTACTTATTTAATTGAAGTGATTGATGGCTACTGAGGCAGCCCTGTGGCTACTGAGACTGTAGAGGACAGAGTGAATCAGAGCAGAGCCCCAAACTGTGACACATACACTAACTGACTACTTTATTAGGTACACCTTGCTAGTACCAGGTTGGACTCCATTTTGTCCTCGGAACTGCCTTAATTATTTGTGGCATAGATTAAACAAGGTGCTGGAAACACTCCTTAGGGAGTTTGGTCCATATTGACATGATAGCATCATGGAGTTGCTGCAGATTTGTCAGCTGCACATCCATGATGCAAATCTTCCATTCTACCATTGTAAAGGTGCTATATTGGATTGAGCTCTGGTGACTGTGGAGGCCATTACAGTACAGTGAACTCATTATCATGTTCTTAGCCAACAGGAGTGGCACCCATTGTGGTCTTGTGCTGATGTAGCCCATATGCTTCAAGGTTTGATGTGTTGTGCATTCTGAAATGCTCTTCTGCATACCTTGGTTGTAGCAAGGGGTTATTTGAGTTACTGTTGCCTTTCTATCACCTCGAATCAGTCTGGCCATTCTCCTCTGACCTCAGACATCAACAAGGCATTTTTGCCCAGGGAACTGCCGCTCTCTGGATATTTTCTCTTTTTCAGAACACTCTCTGTAAACCCTAGAGAGGGTTGTATGTGAAAATTCCAGTAGATCAGCAGTTTCTGAAATACTTAGAAAAGCCAGTCCAGCACCAACAACAACATGTTCACAGTCACCTAAATCACTTTTCTTCCCCATTCCGATGCCCAGTTTGAACTTCAGCAGATCGTCTTGACTACATCTACATGCCTAACTGCATTGAATTGTTGTCATTGAGCTGCTGCCATGTGATTGGCTGATTAGACATTTGAGTTAACAAGCAGTTGAATAGGTATACCTATAAAGTGGCCAGTCAGTGTAGCTAGTCACTGAAAGAAAGCCAGGAACAAATATCACCAAACTGCAGAGCAAAGTAAGGCTCCATTCACATCTATGCAATACGGCAGCACCCCAATGCGCCTGTGTGTTGTATTGTACCACATCACATGGTAACCTATTACAATTTAAAAAAAGGTTGCTTGCACTTGTTTTAGTGCAAAGGACAAGTTAAATCCAAAAGTCTTACCTTCCATGTTTTTCATTTCTGCTTTTAAGAGCTTCAGTCCAACACAAGCACTGAGTAAGCGGTCTGTTCCATCTACGTTGGTGCACAAATGAGAAGCAATGGCCGCTGCTGACAAGGGCTCACCAACATCATGTAGTAAGTCAAAAATTCCCAACTCACATGCTGTAAACATGGTCTATAAGGAAAATACACCTTTTAATACTGTATTATGGCACTGATCATTTACAACGTGTATTTGTTTATTGCAGTTCAAGCCTTGAGCCAAAATGGGCTCCATCTCCAATATGTCCTGTTTCATCCAGTTATGTCCATTACGCCTACATGCAAAGTCTCTTAGATTTTGTACAGCAGAAAAAGGCAAATATAGAGCAATCAATAGCTATGCATTATATATGTAAGAATCATCCTATTAATATGTAAGAATTATCCTATTTATCAAGCTAAGAGAAACCTGTACTGATAAAATATGGTGACTGTCCTTGCTGACCTTGTGAAAATGCTAATTGCCTGGGTGTCTTTAGCCCTATTAATTACTTTTGTAGTCACTAACCTTGAAAAAGAAAACTAAGTAATGGCATCCTACATATTTTATGTACAGTCAAGTACAGTTTGAAAACCAAACACAAAACCTGTAATACATGTTGTATTACAAAAAAACAACGTTTTTTTCTTGTGTTTTTGGAAGCACCACGTTGAAGAAAATAGAGTTTGTTAGAGTTCTGGATACGTACAGAGACAGACAATTTAATTTGGTCCATGAATGAATCCTCAACAAAACCTTTTCCTTTAATTAGAGGAAGTTGTGTTAAGATACTTGTAAGGCCATTTCTGGAGAGAGGGAGACCTCAAAAGGTAAGCTGGAAGGCCATAGGTGAAGTATAAGGAAAACTACAGGGTTCTTCACAAAAGGGTGAAGAGTTTGGAGAAGGCAGGAGAAGTGAACAATCTAGGACAACATAGCTGAACTGGAAAGTGAGCTGAACTGGAGAATGTTTCCAAATCAGCTATGTTGTCCTAGATTGTTCACTTCTCCTGTCTTCCCCAAACTCTTCGCCCTTTTGTGAATAACCCTGTAAAAAAACTCATACTCAAAATGTAAAAAAGCCTCAGTTTGAAAATAACTTTACCATGCTTTGTACTTGAGACATTATTTTTTCTAATTTGTTTTACCTATTTTTGCCTTTAGAATACAACTAAAGGTTTCTGCATGACAATCACCCTGGCTTTTGGATTGCGTTTGAGGGGTAAGAACCTCTTTCAGATTTTTATTGCTGTTCTTGATCCTGTTAGGGAAATTTCACCTCACTTCCTATCGTTATGAGAGCCTGTAACAGCAGGACAAGAAATTAGGTGAACAGTTGTTAAAGGGACAGGAAGGCAGACTTTCTAACGCCTTTGCATTTTACTGAACAAAATGTGTTTGTTGCGTTCTCTGTTCCAACTGGACAGATTTGTATTCACTTCATGTTCTGACAGGAAATTAGGGGAAATCTCTCTAACTAGATCACAAACCACAATAAAAACCTTTTGGCTGAGTTTGGGCCTTATGTTTACCTTTACAACATTTTCCACCTGTAACATCTTAATTACTTTTAATACAACATATTCATAATTCTTCCCTTCCCAATCTTTGCTGGTTACCAAAGGTTATCTACCAGCACACAAAGCCCCCCACCTTTTTTTTTCTTTTAATATTAGTTCTACCAAAATAGTATGTATTACCTCAGCATAAGCCATTAGCCCACAATAAAGAATATCCGGGAGTGATCCGGCCAGTAACAAACTTCCTGTAGTGTGCCTCCACTGTATTGAGGAGCAATGGAGCCACCCTTGGAAAGCAGCATTGTCACCCTGTGGGGAGGGTAGTGTTGGTACTAGTAGATTTAGGTCATGGACTACTTTTTTTTCACCACACCACACCATAATGCAACGCCTGAGATTGCAGTACCACATGTTGCGCTGCACTGCAATGCACAGATGCCAGGAGGTGTGTGTTGGGGTGCCATTCAAATGAATAGCAAGACATTGTACCTAGCACATGCTCCTGCACCCTAGGTGCACGGTGCGATAACGTGCATTAAACGCACTGCATTGTGCTTTTAACACAATGCCATGGTGCGAGCGGTCCCTTAGATTGACTTGACTAACAAATCAAATCCAAACTCTTTTTTCTTTTGTGATAAAGGGTTTACATAAATTAATAAAAGCTGTAAGCATGTCTGTCAGTATTAAATGATTCGTCTGAGCCCTCTAACTGCCACTTTTGCTGGACAGCTTAGTCTATTAAAGAAAGTTGAAAAATAACAAAAATAAAATGCAAGCACCACATCTAAGGACTCCTAAACTGCAATATATGATTTTTTTTGCTTTGATTTTAACCTTGATGTATAAACTATAGGGTTATCACTAGGGATGCACCGATACCGGAATTGCTGATGACATTAGGCATTTTTGGTCGTACTCATAAAAAATTCACAGAGATACTCAGTGCCGATACTGGCACTTTAAATTATTAAACGGAAGCTGGCTCTGTAAACAGGTGCCGCTGCTGCCCAGGTCCCGGCAGTCTTCCTGTGAATCAGCGGTGCCTGTTTACAGCACCGGTTGAAGATCTCCTCCTCCTTTCTGCACCACGTCACCCACACCCGCCGGGACCCCTGGTGAGACAGCACACCATAGACCCCCCACAGCCCACCATGGATCCTGTGCAGCATCCTGAGACTTTGCACAGCCCACCATCCTGAGACTTTGCACAGCCCACCATAGACTTCTCACAGCCCAGCATAGACGCAGCACAGCCCAACATAGACCCAGCACAGCCCACAATAGACTCTACACAGCCCACCATAGACTCTGCACAGCATCCTGAGACACTGCACAGCCCACCATAGAACTTGCACAGCCCACCATAGACCCTGCACAGACCACCACAGACCCTGCACAGACCACCATAGAACCTGCACAGCCCACCATAGACCCTGAACAGACCACCATATCATTAAGTAATGTTCTTGGTGTAGTGCACCACCAACACCCAAGGCCCAATTTTTCCGCACCCGCATGTATGAGGTGCATATAATTTCAATTTTTTTAATAATTTCTTTTTATAGCAGGGCCCATTCCAGCGCTCACCAAGTGTAACTGTGAGGGGTTACAGTGTTCAGACACTGCCAACACCCAAAGCCCAATTTTTCCGCACCCGCATGTGACAGCTGCATATAATTTTATTTTTTTACAGCAGGGCCCATCCCTGTGCTCACCAAGAGTAACTGTGAGTGGTTACAGTGTGCAGACAACACAACACCCATTTTTTTTTTTTTTTTGCACCTGTGTGAAAGGTGCATATAACTTTAATATTTTACAGCAGGGCCCATCCCTGCACTTATCAAGAGTAACTGTGAGTGGTTACAGTGTGGGGGCCCAAACACCAAAGACCCATTTTTTCCACACTTGTGTAAGAGGTATATATATAATTTACATTTTTAGAGCAGTGTCCAATTCTGCACTCATCAAGAATAACTGAAGGGTTATGGTGTGAAGGCACCGCCAACACTAAAGGCACAATTTTAAAGCACCTGTTGTAACTTTCATCCAATGCCTGCGAGAGAGGCACCAGAATGTATCCCAAAAATCTCTAACCTTGTTCCGAGTGTCCCAAAATGTGGCCTCTTCATACAGGCTGCCTCCCTAAGCAGTTGTTTACAAGATTAAGGGAAAATCAATTACCGGCAATTTAAATGTCATTTTTTTACTTTATAAATGTAATTTTTGCTGCAGCAGGTTCTATACATCGTACAGATGTGCCACTTTACAAGCAGTTTAGGGAGACCCCCACGATATTTAAAGGAAATTTTATTTTTTATTGTTTCACTTCCAGCGATGTTAAAATCACTGCTCCTTTAAAAACGGTATTTTTTTAAAGTGTTTTTTTCATTGATACATGTCCCCCTGGGCAGCACCTGACTCCCCATACCCTTTGTATGGCCAATAACTTGCATATAAGCCTTCAAAAAGGGAACAATTGATTTTCCAATTCTTGCCCTATAGACTTGCATTACGTTTGAGTTCAAATTCAAACTTTTTCCAAGTTCTAAAGTTCTAATTCAAACCGAACTCTGGTCTGTTCGCCCCATCACTATCCACCATAGGCCCCGCACAGCCCACCATAGACCCTGCACAGCATCCTGAGACCCTGCACAGCCCACCATAGACCCTGCACAACCCACCATAGAACCTGCACAGCCCACAATAGGCCCTGCACAGCTCACCTTGGCCCCCCAATCACGTGTCGTGTACAGTGTATACATTGCTTCCAAACTGCCTCATATTCCTTTACATAGACCAGTTACAATAACTACTAAGCAAAAAATGCTTTAAAGGAATAACTATATGCAAGTAATTTCTGCTTTCAATATAGTGTCTGATTGGCAATTCATGCAGCTGTTTAGAGAAAAAGTAGGGATGCTATATGTAAAGGAAATAGCATTTTAGACATACATGCTTACCTTTGAGACCAAAAATCCATCCTTATAGTCAAACAGTTGCTGTGGATAGTCAAGGTCGGTGGAGCTCATGTTGGTGTGATATTCAATGGCTCGGTCTGTTTTCATAAGCTGCTTTTATCTGGAGATATATTGCCTTAGGGAGCTAAGCTGGGCTCAGACAGTTGATTCCTCACCTGACCTAATTTATATTAGTGTATGTATTCATTATCTGATGCATTAAAATTAGTAAATATTTTTGGTGTAAGTCTAGAGGAAGTGTCAAATACAATACCAGCTTAAAGCCCGATCCTAGATAAAAAATTTTTACGGTTTTGTACAGTTTGGGTAAGGGTTAAAACATCTGTCTGGTTATATTGTTGTCTGTGACCCCACTGAGGGGATTTTCCTCACTTCCTGTCCTGGAGAAAAGGGTTCAGAGAGACATGAAGTAATGAGAAATCACTCCAACAGTGGCATAGTCTGCAACAAAAAAACTTCACATTAGTGAAGGTGCAAGACTTTGCTCAATCAGGGCCCAGTACTCTGAAAGAGCCATGATTGGGCAAAGTCATGATGACTTTGCCCAATCATGGCTCACCTGTCAGATGCCGTACAACTATAAACAGTTGGGCGGAGCTAGCGGTGACCAATAGTTTATATGTTGCCGGCATCTGTCAAAATGCCATTCTGCGGCAAGAGTTTGTCACGAGTGGACGGTGCGGCGAGTCGTTTCTTTTTTTTTTACCCCTTACTCATTTACAAGGGGGACGGGGAGCACATCTGAGTGCCTCTTTATTAAACTTTTGTTTGCCTGATGAAGGGACCGGACAGGTTCCGAAACGTTGCCACGCATGGTGATATGACCTGTGAGAATGAATAAAAGGATTTCGTTTTGAAGAAAACTTGGAGTGCTGGTGACCATTTTTCTGTTTTGCAAGTAGTTGGCGGCGCCATCTGCAGCCACTTCAGCACCCCCCCTCCCCCCCCCCACAGTGTATGGGGCTTCTCGGTCAGGAGTCCCCAGGGCTTGTGGGGGAAAAGCCATTGAAATATGAAAATGTTCTATTTAGCTACCAAAAGTGTTATTCTGCATTAAAATCTATTTTATCTATTAAAGGAGAACTATGAGGTGAGTGCTTTTCACTCACCTCATAGTTCTAGCCGACCTGTGACAATGAGACTGTCACAAGTCGGCTTAGTAGATCAGGAGATGAGCGAACACATACCAGCGTTCGCTCACCTCTCGATCCTGTCACAGCTCTCTGCCGTGACAGGGGAGGGGCTGGATTCCCCTCTCCCCGCTCCGATCCTCCAGCGCTGACTAGTTTGCTGTTTTGAAAATCTAGTGTAAAGGAAACGTAATGCTGGAAAAAAAAAAAGGTTTTACCAATATTTTTTGGCAAATAAATTCTTTATAGTCGTCATAACTGGGGGCATGTCAGGAGTGTGTCCATTGCCTGAATACAGTGAAGGGAATGTATCAAAACTGGAGCAGACAGAAACTGGAGCCGTTGCCCATGGCAACCAATCAGCATCTCTCATTATCTCAGAAATTTGGGAGCTATGATTTTAGTCATCATGTATTATACCAGATTCAGGTTTTGCATACATGTGTGCAGTAAATTTGCGTGTATGAAGCTGTGTGATCTACCTACCCTATTTCTACACTCAGTTAATAATAATTAACAGTAAATGGGAGTAGCAAGCAGGGAAATAACGTAGACGTTGTGGTATGAACTAGCGATGCACCGATGCCAGTTTTTTGGTATTGTGTACAAGTACTGATAGTTTTCTTGCCGTACTCACCAATACCAAAAGTCCCATTAAGGAAGCCAGGCAGCGAGTAATGACTCGCCGCCCGGGTTCTTGGTTAGCCAGGAAGCCGGCTCCATGCTCCCTCATCACCAGGTGAAGGGGAAGCATGGAGCCGGCCTTCTGGCCAATCAGGAAGCCGGGGGGCAAGTCATTATATGCCGCCCGGGCTTCCTGGTTGGTCGGGAAGCCGGCTCCATGCTCCCTCGTCATTATATGTGTCCCATCAACTTTCTTCACCTCATAATAGAGGTGTTTGGTATCTAACTGATTGTGATTTTCTTCTACATTCAGGTAGACATTTGTTATACATGTAATGTTATTATGGGGATTATGGGTTAAATGAAGAGTTTGGGATGTATAAAAAGGGTGGTTTTAGGTTAAGCAGAGACAGAATTCAAATGTGTATTATTTCTAAATGGTTATACGAAGGCCAGTTACAACCAGCATACATTAGCGCCTGGTGAGGGCTCTACTAGAGGGTTCATCACATGGCAGTTTTATCTTTTAAAGGTTTGAAGCCCTGATTAAGAACTGTTTAGACGGGGCGTGGCTAAGACATGGCCGAGTGAAGACGCACGTTGCCGGAGCTCTGTTCCCCCTGACCAATTACTAAGCATGATTATTTGGATGTGTTTTATTTTTCAGCCGGGTTATGTTACCTTGATGCGGAGTAATACGTTTTATTACGAGTTCTGTGGAATCTGTGCCCATACTCTGTAACCACATACAATGTTTTTTTTTGTATATGACTTTTTTCTCAGTCAATAAAGGATTTAAAAAAAAGAACTGTTTAGGCATTCCAACCTGATCTGCTTTATTCAGTAGCTGATCTGTCCTGAGCTGGTTATTTTAGAGGGGATATGAGATGTCTTATGACTCTTCCTATGAGGGTTGCCACCTTTTCTTTCATGGAAAGACCTCAAGTCCCTTGGTGTCACTGAAGCGGAGGGGAAGAGAGGCTGAAGGGACCGGTCTAGCAGTCAGCCAGGATTGCAGTTCGAGTGAACATATCTTCTTTATTTTAGCTCCCTAAGCAAAATGAGCATTTAACCCTTGAAGCAGGAGTAACCCCACTGCAAGTGTTAAGGTTTTATTTGCCCGGAGTTTAACAAACATGCACACTTTAGCTGGTTAGGATGTGGAAAAAAAGCTTCAATTAAATTTTACATTGAAATGCATAATATCAGGGAAGTAGTAAACGACTACATATAAAATAATATCTATTACATTATGTAAAAAAATCAATCCGCTTAGCCCTTAATCAAAATGGAGAAGCAATGTTCAACGTGTTATTGACGTGAGCGCGCATCGTCATCCATATAAGCTCGTCCACAGTCGCCGTGCATTGTGGGGGAAAGGGGAGGGACCAATGTGCTCTCTTTATTGCCCTGGAAACTGCGGCGTACTACATTTAAACCGGAAGTGTTAGTCGGGAGCTTTAGGCACGCCCCTTTCCCCACAATGCACGGCGACTCGTTGTTCTTCCTTGCTGGATGTATCAGCGGTACCTGCATAGCGGGCTGACAGAGGAGGTACGTGTGCGGCGCTGGGTGTACGGAGGGGCCTCTGTGAATGGGATCACACTGTATGCTTTGCATGATGAGCAGGTCATCCCACACATGGGAGATACTTTTTAACGTAATAAATGTTTTGAACAGGCTCATGTTCTATCTGTGCAGCGTGTTTGTGTGTTGTAAATTGTGCAACACATTTGTCGGTGAGTGGCCGGATCCCTCTAATCAATAGGTGCCGGTTGTCCCTCATTTCCTGGGACGGTCTGTGGTTTTTCAGGGTTATTCCTGGAAACTTTCCCCATTATAATTGTTCCTGGACTTAAACATCGGTCAGGTGTACAGTAAACGTGCCTTGTTTTTGCACGTTTAAAGGCCAACTTCAGCCTCAGGAACCCCCCCCCCTCCCCTATATTGGTCTTTGTATCCCCTTCCCCAGGTGTCCCAAGTCCGGTCATGTAACATGACAGGTCTTCTTTCCCCCTGAATGCTAGAGAACAGAGCGATACAATGATGTGGCTTCACCCTCTGTGAGCCAAGGGGGGGTTGGCTCTTGATGGCCATGGTAAGTGGTTTGAATAGCTGGGTGTCATGCAACCCAGAAGAGGCACAGCGCTGGATTGGGGAGACTATGGGGACAGAGTCGATAGAAGGTTAGTATCGCAGCCAGGGCTTTTTTTTTCTTTTATTTGGTGTTTTTTTTTAGAATCATTTTTTAGAAGAATTCATTACTTAAAAGATTCGTTCACCTTTTCACAAAAAAATAAAAACAGGTGAACTTGCAACACCCTCCCCAACTCAATGCCAACCAAACCCCCTGTCCACGCTGCACTAATCTGCAAGGGTGACCTTTACCCGTCACCCATACCTGCTGGTATAATGGTCCTGACACCCGACAACTTCAGGTATTTACTTTCCATCACAAGATGTCTTTTTAATCTGCTGGCTGCATTGTTTAAACTACCTGGCTGTCATGGACCTGGGCACCTTCACACAGCCCAGGGATCACGGAATGACTGCACTGACTGGTGCTTACTAGGGCTGCAGCTATCGATTATTTTCATAATCAATTAGTTGCACGATTATTTTTTAAACTAATCGATTGGTTGTAAGAAAAATCCCTCCCTCTCTCCCCAACTAACTAATCCATGATGAGAATAGTTGCCAACTATTCTCATAATCAGTTATCTATTTAGTGGATTAGTTGTTACAGCCCTAGTGCTTACAAGTCGTTACTAGCGATGGACTTGGTGAGAACCCAGTTCGCTCAAAACTGGGACCTCCACCCCGTCCTCCCGACCCAGTCAGTGACAGCAGTTGTGGTGACATATAGCTGTGGTGCAGGGAATGCGCCTTTGGTTGGGAGTAAGGATGGGCTCGGGCGTGTTCGCAGCTCCAGGTGCGGAGCCTGCCAGGAAGCTGACAGCGCGCAGCGCCAATCACAGGTGCTGAGACATTTTCCCGGTCCGCAGCTGCAGAGATCGGGAAATGTCTCAGTGCCTGTGATTGGCGCTGTCAGCTTCCTGGCGGGCTCGGCATATGGAGCTGTGAACACGTCCGAGCCCAACCTTAGTTGGGAGGAGCGGTGGCCGTGACCTTTTTAAATGGGCTTGCGGTGTCAATAAACTGGGTTCACACCAAGCCCAACCTCACCACTAGTCATTAACTGAGCACTTTAGTAATTGGGTAAGGACTGACCTGTGAGAAGAAACAGGACCTGTGATGTCATCAGTCTTCCCGGAAGACCCTTGGAGGTCAGGGGATTTCTTTTTATACACTTCCATTTTAAGGAAAAGTTTTATTTAACTATATGACCAATCGTTCCGTGTGTTTGGACTGCTTTTCTGCTGGCGAGAAATTCTAGTCTTAGATGAGGTACAACTAATACTCCTTTCATTTGTTAGCGAGAAAAGTATTTTTCAAGTGAAAGCAGATTTAATTTGTGTCCTTTATGGTAAGGCTTCTATTAGAAGAGTTCTAACAATTCTTGTTCCCTCCATGTAGACATTAGACATAAGCTCGCGAGAGTTTCTTCCTACAGGTGGCCAATCATTTTCTGTGTGCTGTTTTATAGTGTAAGCATTGGGTTTCTGCTTCTACCCCGTTCTGACTGAAGAAATCGTAATTTTTCAGCAACATACAGAGAATTTCTCTACCCTTGCATGTACGTGTTCACAGTTATGCTTTGATGTGATTACATGTATGATGCTTGCCAGGTAGTGACTGCATCAGGACCACTGGTACGAATGTATCATAATCCATTCATTGGACACGGTATCATTTGTACATTGTTCAGGGAAGCTAATAAAGCTGTGCTCAAATAGCTGCATAAAGGACTATTATTGCTAAGGGTTGAGTTTGAGATTATGTAGTCTTTTCTGCGGTATGCTTGCAATTGGTGTGTCTTGTATGACTTGCGTCAAATTATAAGCATGTTTATATCTCCAATATAAAAGTATGCAAAGTTGTCATATAAAATTAGCATTATTATTGTGTACGGCATGGGTTAAATTGATATGTGCTGCTCATAAATTGTTTATCTGTCATCCAACAGGAAAGTAATTACTATGGCAGCTGCTACCATAGTGCACGATACCTCCGAAGCTGTCGTGCTATGTGGGCCGCATGGGCTGTTCCTAAAGCCCATCTCAAAGATGGTCATCAGCGTGACACTGCCTCAGCTAAAGCAACCTGGAAAATCCATCTCCAACTGGGAAGTGATGGAGCGTCTGAAAGGCATGGTGAACAACCACCAGTTTTCTACATTACGAATCTCCAAAAGCACCATGGATTTCATCCGCTTTGAAGGCGAGGTAGACAATAAGGGTTTAGTGAAGGCTTTTATAAGTGCTTTGGATGGCAAGAGTATAAAACTGAGCGGGTTCTCCGACATTCTGAAAGTCAGAGCAGCCGAGTATAAAATCGATTTTCCTACCAGGCACGACTGGGACTCTTTCTTCCGTGATGCAGCAGACATGGATGAAAATTTGCCAGGAGAGAGACCAGACACAATCCATTTGGAAGGCCTTCCGTGCAAGTGGTTTGCTAATAAAGACTGTGGATCTGAAAAGCCAAGTGAAGAAGTCCTTATAAAGATCTTCAGCCTCTTTGGAGACATCAGGAATGTAGACATCCCCATGCTTGATCCCTACAGAGAAGAAATGACTGGCAGAAGCTTCCATACATTCAGTTTTGGTGGACACCTAAACTTTGAAGCTTATATACAGTTCAGGGAGTATATGGGGTTTGTAAAGGCCATGACTGCTTTGCGTGGTATGAAGCTAATGTATAAAGGTGAAGATGGTAAAGCTATTGCTTGTAATATAAAGGTGAGTATTCAGAGCGGGTCAACAGGCTTTGTTTGTTCACACTAATAATGTAAAACGTATAAAATGTGGACGTTCTGGGCGGAGGGTGAACATAGTTTTGTATTTAGCTACTCTGGGGGGTATTAGCAGACAATAACAGGGTATATATACAGTGATCAATGTGGAGAATACAGCAGAGTGTACAGACTCGAGGTGTGGTGTACAAACCATATTGAACCTTGTGTAGAGTGCATGCATGGAAAGTATGTAGTGTAGAAAAGGTACAACCCACTTTATCAAGCCTGACAGACATTTTACTGATTTCTCAGAGGGTTCTTTGTTTCTGTAATAACCTGACATCCCTTTGGGAGAAGTTGCTATGTATGTGTTTTTTTTTATATCTTCACAGTCAGACCCTAGAGTATCTTGCTACTGTTAATTACAGAGCCACTAACCCTCTGTTGACATCAACTTAGGGAAGTCTGAAAATAATATGTAGGGATGTGTATCTTGTCCGATGTGATAATTACTAGATGTTTAGAATGTTTTATTCTTTTCTCGTCCATTGAAGGACACTGGAAGTCTTAAACCTGGGATATGCTGCCACCTACAGGAGGATTGGACACTGGCAAACAAAAAAACTGTAGGCAGGCCCAGGGTACCTTCTTACTACCAGCATGCCTCAGTTTTTGTTTTTTTTTGGTTATTGCCCTGGGAGGATGGATGTCAATTCTTCAGCTCTGCTTGCTGCTGTAAAGACTAACCAGTTATTTTGCTAGCACTTTCTTCCCCAATCATCTTCCAGGACATCAACCTGAAAGATGATTGGTTCTCCCATCTACAGGTAACACAATTAACAAGAGGATTAAAAACCCCTCCCACCCTCCTTGTTCCTCAGTTTAGATGGTGTTTCTTACCGTCTAGGACAGTGGTTCTCAACCTGTGTAACCTCGGGACCCACATTTTTCCTTGGTCATTAAGGCGTGACCCAAAAATGATTTCATTTCTGAAACATTTTAATTTATTACACATTGTCACCTTTCTGATTTTCTCTGGTCCGGATGGCCTTGAGGTCAGCGGTCCCCCTTCTCTAGGGCTCTGGTGTCTTTTTCCCAAAGAGGTTCAGCCTTGTCCTTGGAGTCAGAGGGTTCCCCTTCTTCTTGCCAGGTTCTCTGTACCTCTTTTTCATCTGAGGGTAGACACCTGAGGTTCCCCAGAACTACGTTTGTCCTATCTGGCTCCCTGCAGTGTAGGGAAGGATCCTGTGCTGTGAGCTGACTATTTTTCCCTCCAGAGGAAGTGTAAGTGGTTGGCTGGCGGCGGAGCTGTGATCCAAGCCTTGTTCTGAAGCTGACGGATGTGTGCAGCCGGTAGTAGTGGGTCTAGAGCAGGTTTCTATCATTCTATCAATTTCTATCATTTGTTTTCATAGGAGCCTGCAGAAACTGAAAAGCCTAGCAACCACTCTGCAGCCCCACTTTCTGCCTCCAGCCCTTAAGCATGTCAAAAAGCGATGTGGCAGTTGTAATGTAAAGCTTCCAAATTCTTATGCAAAGCTGTGAGAAATGTATTCAGAAATGTTTAGCCAGTGAATCATCTAGCATGATACAGGGCTTTATGGATGGGATGCGGTCTGAGATGGTAGCGACTGTTCAATCTTTTAAGAATGTTCTTTTAGAATTTCTGCCTGTGTCCTCTGCCTCTATTGTGTCTGCTGGGCCTTCAGGGCTTTCTCACAGTTCAGTCTTGCACCAAGATCCTCAAGGAGGGGAACTCCCCAACGGGGAAGTAGAAAGGTGCAAGAATCTGAAGCTTCATCCGATGACTCTGTAGAGGAGGGGGGGAGGCATTGGAGGGGGAGGATACAGTAGAAACCAAACCAACTAGGCACTCCCCATTTGAGGATATGGATTATCATTACAGTCTAATATATGTTACAGAGCAAATCCCTGACCTGCCTAAACCAGTGTCTGTTCAGGACAGGGTTTATAGGGGATTACATGAAGCTCAGGGCAGAGTATTCCCGATGCATCAATCCCTAAAAGACTTAGGCCTGGGAGAATGAAAGGACCCTGAGAGAAAGTTTTTGGTATTCAGGAAAAGAAGATTCCCTTTCGGAAAGGAAGATGAGGACACATGTTTTATAATGTCCTTAATTAGATGCAGCTCTCTCGGGTTTCTAAAACTTCAGATTTATCTTTTGAAGTTTCTGGGAATCTTAAGGACCAATTGGATCATAAGATGGAAGCTTTACTATGCAGGGCTTGGGATGCCAATATGTCGTCTATGGCTCCAGTCTTGGCTGTTACATGCGTAGAAAGAAATATGGGCTTATGGCTAGAAAGAGTATCTCAGCACATGTCCCAGGGAGTTCCCGCAGAACAGATTGGTGAATCCCTTTCAGCAATAGGGAAAGCAGTTTCCCACCTTGCTGATGCAGCAGCTGAGTCTGTGCGAGCCTCTGCTAGATCTGCGACCCTTATCAATACAGCTAGAAGGGCGGTCTGGTTAAAAGCCTGGGATGGTGATATTTCCTCTAAGACTAAGTTATGTGTTCTACCTTTTGAGGGGGCTTACTCTTTGGTTCTGGTTTAGACAATGTCTTGGCCAGATCCTCAGAAAAGAGTAAGACGTTTCCCGTGAAAAGGAAGAATTTTCGTTTTCGCAGATTCAAAGATTCCAAGAATCGGAGGCCTATGGGGGGAAAAAGTGAGGAGCAGAGGAAAAGGTGGACTTTCAAACCTAAACAGAAGGCAGGTCTCCTCTTTACTGCTCCAGAATCCTCCACTATGACGCCAGACTAGAAGTATTGGGAAGACTGTCACTCTTTTATCAGGAATGGTTAAAAATGATAGAAAACCATTATATTCTGACTCTCATCCATCAGAGAGGGTTATCGGTTAGAGTTCGACAGTCTTCCTCCTCCAATTTTTTTCCTAACCCCGAGATCCAGGGATCAGGGGAAGGCAGCAGCCGTGATGGATTGTATTTTAAATCTAGTGTCTCAGAAAGTCATTGTTCAGGTTCCAAAGGAAGAACTTTTTCAGACATTTCTTCCCATGTCTTCTTAGTCCCAAAGCCGGGAAACAGGTCCCGATTAATTTTGAATTTGAAGAAAATGAACCAATTTTTAGTGGTAGCCAAAACTTTCAAAATGGAAAACATTTATTCCATTCTAAGGCTTTTACAGACGGAGGTGTTCATGGTTACTTTGGATTTGAAGGACGCATACCTTCACGTACCAATTTACCTGAAACATCAGAGGTTTCTGAGATTTTCAGTTCAGACAAAGAAGCAAATGTTACATTATCAGTTCAGGGCCATGCCTTTTGGTCTAGCTGATTTTTACAAACATTTTGGCAGAGGTTGTAGCACATCTGCACTTACAAAGGATATCTCATCCCTTATTTAGACAATCTTCTTTTATTCGCTCCATCCAGAACAGAAATATTACAGGATTTGCAGAAGGTCACAGGCTCTCTGAGCGGGCTTGGGTGGATTCTAAATGTGGAGAAGTCCTCTTTGATTCCAGATCAATCCAGCATTTTTCTGGGTTAACATATAGACTCTGATTCACAGATTATTTTTCTGACAGAAGAACAGATCACCGGTGTCCTGTCTCTGATCCGACAGGCCTAGTAGAGTCACTAGAGTCACTAAGAGAAATAATGAACATTTTGGGAGTCATGACTTCCTCAATTCCGGCCCTGACATAGGCACAGTTACACTCCGGGCCACTTCAAGTTTTCCTTTTGTCTCAGTGGGATTGTCAAAGAGCGTTAAAAAAAACTAGTACGTTTTTTGTCTTATTTGGAGGGACAAAGAAGGGATATGTAACTTCCTGTTCCACTAGGTGGATTAGACAAACTATTGTATTTGTATATAAGAATGAAGGATTAGAAGTCCCTACATGCATTTAGGCACATTCTACCCGATCTTTGGCTACTTCATGGGCAGAGAGAGCGGGCGCTTCAATGGAGCTGATCTGCAGAACTGCGGTTTGGTCAACTCAGGACACCTTTGTGACACACTACATGGTGGAGATCCTGCCGCAGCAAAATCAAGCCTTCGGCAGGAAGGTTCTGCAGACTGTTTTCCCGCCCTAAGATAGGCCTGTTGGTTTACCTGATTATTTTCCCAGGTTGCTGTCCTGGAAGATTATTGAGGAAAATCCCAGTTAGACTTACTGGTAATGGTGTTTCTAAGAATCTTTTAGGGCAGCAGGTCTACTTCCCACCCTTGTTTGTGGTGTATATTAGCATGGTACTTTACTTTAATCTCTACTGAGGGATGAGGGGGGTGGGAGGGGTTGCTACTTGTGTTTCCTGTAGATGGGAGAACCAATCATCTCTCAGGTTGCTGTCCTGGAAGATTCTCAGAAACACTGTTACCGGTAAGTCTAACTGGGATTTTTCTTCCAGGATTTTTTTTCTCTTTACGCTACTGAATGTTTTCCTTAATTAGCGGCTATCCAGCACAGATGACCTCGTTCGGAATGTGCTCGACTATGCGGCTAGCCAGAAAGTAACTGTTGGGGACTGGGTATTGCGTGGGATGAATTGCAGACTAATTTCTGGTAAAAGTTAGCTGCAGAGCGCTCTCCAGGTCCAGAGCTACTGCATTGCCTTAATGCTTTACCTGCCTCTGAAGACTCTGTGAGTAGGCTTAATCGAATTTACCCATCTTTCCAGTACATCAGCAATTTCTGTACTTTGCTGTGGGGCCCCTACGCTACCAATTTGTGGCCCTGCCTTGCAGCCCCGTCTTGATAATTCAGGTGTTTAAAGTGCTAGCTCCTTTTGTTAGCCCTGTTGCATTCTCATGGTATTCCATTGAGGAATACTTAGAACACCTCCTGTTGAGGGAACAGTTGGTGAGGACTCTGTGGGACAACCTATCTCTTACTATTCAGAAGTCAAGTGGTTCCTGAACCATTACAAATTGCTGTTGGATCTGATTCTCATTGCTTGGAGTATCTGCGGTCTGGTCCTGGACGCGTCTCAATTTAGTCTTTCTTCCCCAGGAGAAATTTCAGCTTCTCTGGTCTCAAGTTTAAACTCCTCAGTCCAGAAGTCGTCCTGACTTTTTGCTCCAGCATGACAGTCTTGGGGCTGATGGTAGCCTCCTTTTGAGCCTCCTTATCTCTGGCTTGGTAGCTTAGTAGTGTGACTCTGGAATTTTGGAAGTCTTTTCCTGTCATTTGGAAGATTTCCATGACACATGCTAGCCTTTCTAGCTGTGAAGGAGCTCTGAGGACCTTGCTTGTGCATGGGACTTGGTCCTTGGAGGAATCTAGTCTCTTAGATAAACATCCTAGAGCTAGAAGTCTTACTGTAGCAAGAAAGGTAGAGTGAATCTTCTCTTGGGCAGATCTTCACTTTCAAGCTGGCCATGCTTAGACCCAGGACACTGGTTACAACACCCAGAGAATTAAGGACTGTGTCGCAGGTGGGGGAAATTGGATATGGCCTCCACGTTCCACAACAAACTAGACAGGTTTGTACCCAGGTACAAGGGTCCCCCTAGCAGATGCTCTGGTGGCTCCGGGGAATTAATACACACATTGGAGGTGTTCTGGACACTGTTGCTGAACAGAATGGGAATAGAAATTTAATTTCCTGCTTCTGTGATTAGATCACTGATTTTTTTTTCTCAAAGGTCTGCACTTTGATAGAAGTAAAAGTTTAGGCAGCCCCAGCAATGGAAATGTAATGTTTGGCTAGATACTCCCTTAGGCTTGTCTATTAAAGTGATGCAGACACTGCAGCTTTCCCCATCTGGAGATTTGCTCAGGTGGTTATAATAGACAGATCTTCCCATTCAGGAATAGACAGCTGAAACAAGCAGTAATGTTACAAAACTAAAGCATCCAGACCTCACACCAATATTTATCCTCTGCAGCAAGCACTAAGTTAGCGTGATGCTAAATTACAAACCCCTTGTAAGTTTGTGCCACGCTCTATGATAAGTGACCCAATATTAAATCGTACAAAAACATAAATCATCAAAAGTGAAATTATACAAAGTTAATTAGAAAAAGAGTTTGTTAGAGTCTTGCACCACATCCACAATCTCTCTGGTGTTATTCAGTATGTGGTTCCCACCATTCCTCCACACCTGCTATCATCAATAGTCCATAAAGTGCCTTCACCACCAACACCCTCCAGAGTGCAGCTCACCTGGTAGTTAATGCTGAAAATACATTTTGTATGCATGTATTGCGTAAAAAGTTTTCAATTGGCTGAAAAATTAGAAGACCTAATACATTGCCATCAGACTTGATTTATTTAGGGGATTTTCTTTTTCACTTTAAATTAAATAAATGGAAATAAAACCTTTTACCATTTTTTTCACTTCCAGGTTTCCTTTGATAAAACAAAGCATCTGACTGAGACATCTATTAAAAAGCGTCATCTCGAGCGACAGAAATTGCAAGAACTTGAAGAACGTCGAGAGGAGCAAAAGAGAAAACAGAAGGAAGCAGAAGAAAGACAAAAAGAAGAGGAACGGTAATAGCTAGATGACTAAAACATTTAGTTTAGAGACTTTTATAGTGTAGAAAACAGTACAGGGAACTTTTCATTGTGTGCAATTTTATTCTATTATCGTATGTGACCACGACCTCAACTGTTGTGGTGTATTTTCAGGTTGCTTGTACTACATGCCTGCTGACTCTGAATTTTTGTGTGGCCTCTCGTCCCTGTCACTCTGCATACCTAATGCGTATTCCATTTGTTGCCATTCATATCTGTAGTCAAATTTCCAGCTTGTCATTGTTCTCCCAAAAATGGCCACCAATGGCCCACGTACTACTTTACGGTTTAAATTGAAGGTGTCCCTCTAGTGCCTAGTCATTAAAGGAAGCATAACTTAACTTGCATTTTAAATTGGCTGAATAATCTTTGTGTATTAAAGTTGTGGAAAGAACTACAATTGGTTTGTAAGTAAAGCATCCTGTTCTCCAGCAGGCCTTGCAGAAGCAGCAGTCTCTCTGTGGTGGTCTGACTCGTCACCTAGGAGTCAGAGCTATGCACTTTACAGGAAGCATGAAGTTTGATTGCACAGCTCTAGCTCTGACTCGGAGGGATTATCCGACCACTGCTCTTACACAGAGCATAACGGTCCTCCTCTCCAGCATCCTCTCCTGGGGGGTGAGCTGGATGCTTTACTGTTACTGTGACTTTTGTTTTAATGCACAGAGAGTTTATTTTACTTTATTTAAAGCCTATTTCCAGATGAAAGGAAAACATAATCTTCCAGTGGGGCTACCCCAGCACTGCATGGGTTAACTGCTTGTTTTTGTCTAGGGAGCCTGTGTAAAGGACATTTACTTACCAGATCCCCGCTACCTCTTGTTTTAAGTGCTGTGCCCGCAGCCTTTTTTCCCCTCCATTTTGACGGTAGGAGGCTTGCTGATGTCATGTGCATATGCAGGGCCCGTAGCCCTGCATTATACATGACGATGCCTAGGTGCCGTTAATGACCCACAGCAGAGGGTAATGAGATGAGTTCTGACCATGGGGGGAGCAGGAATCGGGTAAGTAAAACTGCTTTACTGAATCCCCCTAGACTAAAACAAGTAGTGAACCCATGCGGTTAAGGGGTAGCCACACTACAAGGGTAGTTTTTTTTCTTTTTTTATACCTAGAGATAGGCTTTAAAATGCAAGTTCAATTGACCTTTAAAGGTACTTGTCTCAGAAGTTTTCTTCTGCAAGCTCCATCTAGCACTGCGTTTAACAGTCAAACCTTGCCTCATCGTTCCCAAAGTGAAGACATTTACCACAGTGGTCCATGTCCCATAATATGGGGAGACACTAGTGGAATGTATGTTTATCCCCAGAAATGTATTCATTTTACCATTCAGGTGTAACAATCTTCTTGCATGGCATAAGGGCCCTGTCACACCATATCCAGTGCGTTCGGTGTGGTTCACGCCTGAAACGCACTGGATCGCATAGATCAAGTGGGGCAGCATTCTGGGGTGGGAGGGGGCATGTCAGAGCCATTCATGTCAATGGCACTGCAGACAGTGCTCTCTCTCTCTCCCCTCTTGTGCTCTCTCTCTCCCCTCTCGTGCTCTCTCTCTCCCCTCTCGTGCTCTCTCTCTCTCTCCCCTCTCGTGCTCTCTCTCTCCCCTCTCGCGCTCTCTCTCTCCCCTCTCGTGCTCTCTCTCTCCCCTCTCGTGCTCTCTCTCTCCTCTCGTGCTCTCTCTCCCCTCTCGTGCTCTCTCTCTCCTCTCGTGCTCTCTCTCTCTCCTCTCGTGCTCGTGCTCTCTCTCTCTCCTCTCGTGCTCGCTCTCTTTCTCTCCTCTCGTTCTCTCTCCTCTCGTTCTCTCTCTCTCTCCTCTCGTGCTCGCTCTCTCTCTCCTCTCGTGCTCGCTCTCTCTCTCCTCTCGTGCTCGCTCTCTCTCTCTCTTTCCTCTCGTGCTCTCTCTCTCCTCTCGTGCTCTCTCTCCTCTCGCTCGATCGCTCTCTCACCTTCTCTCCAACCAACTAACCGATAATGAAAATAGTTGCCAACTATTCTCATTGATTTAATTGATTAGTTGTTGCAGCCCTAAAATCAATACATAGTTTGGTATGGTATAGTATGCGATATGGCATTAGTTAGACCTATTTTTTAATAGTAGCTCTCAAGAAACCAGAAACTACATTTATCCAAAATTAGCCAATCCCCATGGAGTTTAATGTATTGTATCAAAATTCTAGTAGCGAGTATACTGTAGCTAGCAAAGAAAGGTCATACTTGAATGAGAAATTTTGATAATGTGGTTAGGAAAATTTCTGGTAATTGAGAAGTCCTCATGGAATTTCTATGGGGCCAATTACTTCAGCTGAAATGATGCAGAGCTCAGGGACTGTAAGGGGTGACACCGCAGGAAAGCTAAGATTTAGGATCAGCTACACTATCAAAGGACAATGTATAAGTAACTGACGTATACCTCTTTCCTGAACTCTTTCTTTTTTTTAGGTATTGAGTTTTCTGTCCTCCCCTAAATGGTATAAGTAAGTCCACCCTAATTAAGTGTTGAAAAATTGTAGGCTTTATTAAATTGAATCTAAAGCACAATAATAAAGGGTAACTGGTATAATAAGTATTTGTAACTGTGCTTCAATTTAGGATTTATTGCAAAAAATACCATCAATCCCAAATACTTGGTGATCGCTCCAACAAAAAGAGAAGCAATTAAAATACGATCGTCATAAATGCACCCGAGAACAAGAGTATATATTTCTAAACTGTGCAAAAAGGCAATGCTTTTGCATAGATAAGAAAAATTGGACTATAAATCAATAATTTATTCTTGGAATTAAAAAAAAATATGGCAATATGTGCATGTAACGGAAATTATTGTTAGAGCAGAACTCTAGGTAAAATAAAGATAATTTACATACCGCAATCCTCTCATTTACTAACTTTGCTCTGGTAAATATACCATTTGAAAGCCTTATGTTAAATCTATTTAATATGTGCAAACAAATACCTGTTAATCCTGCCAGAAATCTTGGAAGCTGATACATTCTTGTGCATTCTTCCTCTGATGACTGTCAGCGTTGTTCCCATTGGTCTCTGTGGACTGGGAAAGCAACCCCCCCAATGTTATGAGAGAGGAAGGTGTTCCATAGTACTAACAGACTGCTGTCTTATAGAGACAATGCTACTCTTCCATTAATACTGTATGGTGATTTAGCTTTGTCACCTTAGGATAGTAGGTGTGCTATAGGTGGGATTACTAAGTGAAAATGAATAAAAACAAACAAATGCAGCCATCTAAAGTCTGGTAAGCTGCAATATATTACACTTTTGTTCATGGGTTTAGATACACTGTAAAGTATAGATGCCAAAGGGGAGGTTGGCATTGGCAGCCATGTTTTAGCTAGTACCTGTGTACTTAAAACCACATTCGGTATGTATTTAATGTAGTAGCAGAGAAAATACATTTCTGTTGTCATCCATTTATAGTACTAGACAAATGATAGGGAAAATCTTGGAATATGAGGGATCTGTGTGGAACCTTAGGACACCGGAGTGGTAATATGATCAGCTGGGTATTGTCTTTTTAAACCCCCTTGGTATTTATGGAGGGTGTAGACGCTAAGCAGATGCCAGTTCTTCCTATTGGGAGTTTACTTTGTATAAGCAGAACAGTTTGTGCTTTTGTATGTGGTGAAAAAAAAGAAAACCTTTTGGGCACTGATTGCTTCCGAATATATGATATGAGGAGCTTTATCAGTAGAGCAGGAGAGATGTCTGGAATCCATTCTTTCATTATTGTTGCCGCAAGGACTAACGTTGATTTGTTGCATTTTAGAAAACAAAAGGAACTGGAAGAGATTGAGAAAGAGAAAAAGCGTCTAGAGAAGATCAGAAAGAAGGAGGATAAACAACGAGAACGGGAAGCTCGCAAGAACAAGAAAAAGCTGCAAAAACTGCAAGCGGAGGAGCAAAAGAGATTGCAGGAGAAGATCCGATTTGAAGAGAGAAAGCTCCTATTGTCTCAGAGGAATTTGCAGTCCATCAGGTTAATTGTAGAGCTTCTAAGCAGAGTGAAGGTGAGAGTGTGCTTTCTGTTTTTATATAATGGATTTAAAAAAAAAAAAGGCTTATTCATGATCTGCTCCTACAATCGCCAGGTTTTTAAAGCTACTATATTAGCAAAGCCTTGACAACGGCTCATGAATAGTAATCAGATTTGCTTTAGTGCGCACTTTACTGATAGTAGGGAATTTTTGTTTTGTTAAATCATTCTCTTATTTACAATGTTCAGTGTTCGAATTTCTTAAAGAAAAATACAGTACATAGATAAAAATGAACTCTACACAAAGCTCTTGGATTGGACTTGACTTTGAAGGTGTCCCTGTCTAATCAAACTTGTTGGGTTTTTTTTAGCAGCAGAGACGGTTATGTTCTTCACCCCCTTACACACACACACACACACACACACACACACACACACCCACACCTTGTGTGCTGGATTAGCTGCAGCTAACATGTGTAGCTCCGGTGTAAATCCGGTGTTCTGCTGCACTCTGCAGTTCTGCTACCAGATACCAGGTCTCGCATTACTACCTTGTCTTCATCATTAGAATCCGGCTGCGTCTTCCTTGTTCTTGGCTTTGTGCTGCAATGGCGGTCTGTTCAAAATGAATACTGAACATTACCATGTATGTTACCACAATATACTGCAGAAGTGTGAAGGCGTGGCCTTATTTTTCTTTCCTCAGTTAATCTTTTCTCTGTGCGCTTTTTCTCATTCAAAGAACCCAGAGTGGGATGACACTGCAGTGTTACATCCTGTAGGTTTTTTTTTAATGATGCTGCAGAGCAGGGTGGGCAACTCTGGCCCTCCAGCTGTTGTGGATCTGCAAGTCTCATGAGGCATTGCAAGACTAACAGTTACAGGCATGACTCCCAGGGGCATGTTGGGATTTGAAGTTGAAGCACAGCTGGAGAGCCGGAGTTACCCACCCCTTTTTCAGCGTCATTATGGTTTGAATGTGAAAGAGTATGCAGGGGGCATAGACATGAGGACTGCTGCAAGGACATAAGTACAAGGGATTTTATATGCTTATCAGAGGAAAACTAATAAGGCTATGCTGCAAATGAAAAACATCAAGTCAAAAGATATTAAAAATGTTGATGCTGCAGCTTTTCATAGCAGAGCACTGATTTGTTCAGGAGCTGATAATAAGGAGATACCTTCCTTTTCAGAAAACAGTGGATGAAAGTACATAGTAGAAGAGACTGCAATTTGTTTAGAACAAAGAAGGGAATAAATCTGCAAAAAGTGTGAAATCTTTGCAATGTATATACACTATATTGCCAAAAGTATTGGGTTGCCTGCCTTTACACGCACATGTACTCTAATGGCATCCCAGTCTTAGTCCGTAGGGTTCAATATTGAGTTGGCCCACCCTTTGCAGCTATAAGAGCTTCAACTCTTCTGGGAAGGCGTCCACAAGGTTTAGGAGTGTGTCTATGGGAATGTTTGACCATTCTTCCAGAAGCGCATTTGTGAGGTCAGGAACTGATTTTGGATGAGAAGGCCTGGCTCGCAGTCTCCGCTCTAATTCATCCCAAAGGTGTTCTATTAGGTTAAGGTCAGGACTCTTGCAGGCCAGTCAAGTTCCTCCACCCCAAACTCGCTCATCCATGTCTTTATGGACCTTGCTTTGTGCACTGGTGCAGTCATGTTGGAACAGGAAGGGGCCATCCCCAAACTGTTCCCACAAAGTTGGGAGCATGAAATCGTCCAAAATGTCTTGGTATGCTGATGCCTTAAGAGTTCCCTTCACTGGAACTAAGGGGCCAAGCCCAACCCTGTATACCAATGACACACCATAATCCCCCCTCCACCAAACTTTACACTTGGCACAATGCAGTCAGCCAAGTACTGTTCTCCTGGCAACCGCCAAACCCAGACACGTCCATCAGATTGCCAAACAGAGAAGCGTGATTCATCACTCCAGAGAACACACCTCCAGTGGTGGCGTGCTTTACACCACTGCATCCGACACTTTGCATTGCACATGGTGATGTAAGGCTTGGATGCAGCTGCTCAGCCATGGAGGTCGGTAGCTATTGACTCTGCAGGCAGTTGGCCACTTCTGCGCACTGTGCGTTTCAGCATGCATTGACCCTGCTCTGTCATTTTACGTGGCCTACCACTTCCTGGCTAAAGGTGGCCATACACTTTACAAAAGTCCTGCAAGGGTTGTAAAGTACTTTAAAAAACGTACGATCTGCCCATCTTGGACACGCAGATCATACTTGCGATCATTGCAAGCCCGCCCCCCTGAGGGGCGGGCTTCCGATGACTGTAATGAGGGGCAGGCTTACGATGACTGCAAACGGGCAGTGTGCGCGTACGCACACAGGCCCGTTCGGCAGTTGTCGAACATGCACGCCACTAACTCGCCGAGAATCATACGATTTTCTAGCATGCTGGTTCGACGGAAGACGTGCGACCGTACAGTAGAAACGGTCGCACGCCTTCCATACACTGCACGATTGTCGTACGATCGCGGGATTTCCTCCTGAGAGCGACCCATTCTTTCACAAATGTTTGTAGAAGCGTCTGCATCCCTAGGTCCTTGATTTTATACACCTGTGACCATGGAGGTGATAGGAACAGCTGAATCCAATGATTTGGAGGGGTGTGCCAATACTTTTGCCAATATAGTGTATGTACCTATAGGGGATTTTGTTTCCTTTCTCAGGACAACTCCTAGTTATACTGGGTTGGTTCACTCATTACTGATCTTTTTACTATTCCATAGACGCTTGCAGATTGATTTACACACTTTTTATGTTTTGAAAACACCGGCAGTAAGATGTCTGCACTTGAGTTCCATCTTTACCCACCTGTTAAAGACTTTTTTTTTTTTAATAACCTTTTTTTATTATCATACAAACAATGTAAGGTTTACAATATACAGTAAATTCCGTCAGGTGGACAATAATAAGAAACTCACAGAGAGGGTACAAACAGATTGATCGAGGCAATCCCACTTTGTAACAGTCACATTTGAAAAGATCAGTTAGACAACATTGCTAGGGACCACTAAGGCGAATAGTAAGTATGCGTGGATATGATCCATTCCAGGTCATACATTTCAATAGATATATCATGCGAGATAATCCACTGTGCGTTTCCCTCCATTAGACAGATATACATGTCCAGATTGTGTATAGCAAAAAGCAAGCACATCTTAGTATTTGAACCAAATGTGATTACAAGTCGTTCAAATGAAATCATGAACAAACCCAATAACGGGTTTAAACGTAAGTATACTCAAGTTCAAACCCAGTAAAACTTAAGAAGCGTGTTAAAGACTTTTTAAGGTCTAGCTACTAGGATTCACAATAGCATTTGGGTGAAAGGTGAAGCCTGAGCATACCTCATCTCTGTCCGGGAAAAAAGAACCTGGTTGGTTAGAATATAGACCATATTCATTACAGTAGATGTTGAGCATCTTTGCAAGTGGATTTTTTTCTTTTATACAAATTGTTTCTTTTTAAATCTTGAATTCTTTCCTTCCTCACCTTCTCCGATTTTTCTTTTGGCATTTTGCTTCCTAACTATTTAAATACACATCGTAAATAACTGTGCAATATTTTACACCAGAAATGCAATTTAAGTGTCCTTATAAACTGCCGAAATCACAGCACACAGCTTTCACTACATTACAATTTTATCTACTGGAATGCTAGTCCAATTAGGGTATCTTTTTTGCTTTCCTGTAAAGACCCTGTTGCTTATTTATAGAAGAGTAAAGGCATTGTGTAAGAGAAGACTAATACTCAAACTGGCCATGCACTGCTTGAGTTTTGGACGATTCCTGGTAAGTGGGCTGCCACCGCCGCCTATGTGATACAATGAAAGTGTCACAGGTCGGCTCAATAGATCAGGAAGTGAGCGAACACATAGCGTCGCTTGCTCACTTCTCGATCTATCCCTGCAGAGAGCCGTGACTGTCACGGCTCCCCGCAGGGATTCCCCCTCCCCTGTCCGATCCTCCAGCGCTGACTGGCGGAACGGACGGGGGAGGGGGCGGGCACAGCTGGCTCTGCCTCTAGATAGGCAGAGGCAGCTGGATGGATCTCGACAGTAATGTCTGGATCCGTCCCGGCTGCGGCGTCTCAGTATCTTGAGCCTAGGGTGACGGTAGGGGGCTAGTTTGTGTCCTCCCGTTACCCTTAGGAGAACTATGGGGAAAAGCCCTGACCCCATAGTTCTCCTTTAATCCACACTGTTTGCTTGGATAGTGGGAAATGATTTCTCTTGTTCAGTCCAGGAGGCTGAATTTGAGAAATCAAAAGGTGTCTGGATAGCTTTACCAGTCCAGCGCATGGTCACTCTAGTCTTTGCCCTTTTATAAAGCATCCAATACCCAAAACTTTAGGGTGTGTAGATGCCTGCATGCTGTGGCTCCTTGTGCTGGTCCTTGTGTCACTACAGACCACAGCTGTGGTGGATGTGTATTGTCTTAAGTCTGTTTACAGATAGCATTTCCGTGTGATTACACATCACAATGGTCCTCTTAAATGAAGCAGTGTGGGAATTGCAGGTTATGAGATTTCTCCTTTCATAAAGCAGACACAAGCTGTCTGGAATCATTCATTTGTACTGACCACATTGTCTTGGTGTTTTGCAGGCCACCAAGATTCGTGAACAGGAAGAGAAAGAGGCAGAAAGGATTCACCTTCTCCATCTGGAAGAGAGAAGAAGAGAGCAGGAGGCAGAGCTAAGACGAGTGGAAGAAGAGAAGCAGCGTACCTTAATTTTATTCCGCAAAGAGAGAGAATTGAGAGAGAAACTTGTGAATAGTTTCCTTAACAGAAATGTATGCGCTGCCTCTCAGATGAAAGAGGAGTCTCAACTGCCACAGTGTTATCCTTTCACACCCAGTGAAAATCTCCTCCAAGACCACTTAGCAAGCTCTTTCACATCTACCTCAACACAAACGCTATCAGAATATGAGTCACTCAGGCCACACATTCACTATGCAAATTCCAACCCCCATGTTGTAAATGGGGTCTGTTTGGAGGCCACCGCACCACAGGAATGTAAACAGATATATGACATTAATCCAGGTAGACCTCTATACTCCCTCACCAGCATTCTTGGCAATACTATCCAGCATAATTATTCAGCAAGTGATGATCCCACTTCCTGGCTAAATGAAGTCGAAACTCACCAAAGCAAAGGTGAGCCACATGTTCACATTGAGTCAGACGTAACCAGCAACCATGTACACTCTCAGGACAAAGAACACAAACCTAAATCAAAACCGAAGCGGGACTTAAGCAGAGACGAGGACTATCACAAAAAAGCAAAGAAGTCCCACAAGAAGCATTCCTCTAGAGATTGCAGCCCACACACAAGAAGCAGTAGCTGTGAACGTAGTAGTCACCGAAGCAGAGATCTGAAGCCAAGGCCCGGTCATAAGCAGAAGAGGCACCATCGGAGATCATATAGCAGAGATAAGGATTCTTGGAGTAGCTGAACACAAGCCACTCTGTGCAGCAGTTTTCTGCATGTAGAACTGTTGGCCAGTTTGGAATCCAGAATGTTTGACCTGTGGTCTATGGAGCAAGCTGTACATAGTCATAGCGCAACTCATTTTTTTTTCATGATCGTGTTACGTTTCCTTAAAGGGCCAGTAAACCTAAAGCAATAGAAATCTGTAAAACTGTAGAAACTTAAATAAAGGCCAACTGCAGGCAAAAGTGAGGAAGGGTTGTAAGCTCAGTCAAGTTTTAAATGTGGTTTTTAATCCCTTTGGGAAGGTTACCCTCACTTCCTGTTTTGTCTGCTGGACAGGAAGTTAAAAAAAATAATCTCCCCAAATAGGACACACAGAACAGTAAAAACCTGATCAGTTCTTAACCCTTCACACTCTATACCAAAATGTTCTATTATTACTGCATGTGACCCATCACTACCTTTTCTGATGTCTGACATACAGCAAGTGAGGAAACTCAATAGTTTTAACTAGGGATGCACCGTTACTGGTTTTTCAGTATCGAGTACCAATATATATACCGGTGCATTGTGCGCTGATTATGAGGAAGTCGGGTGGTGGATCAGGACCTGTCGCACAGCTTACTGATTGCCTGTGAAGCTGGTGTTCTAGCGAAAGAACTCTGGCTTCAGAGGCTGCCTGGCTTCCTGACCAATCAGGAAGTCGGGTGGTGAGTCATGAGGTGCCATCTGGCTTCGCCTAGCAACAAGTGAAGCCGGATTCCTAGCCGATCAGGTAGCTGGGTAAACCCGCCTCCCGGCTTCACTTGTTCCTAGGCAGCCTGGCTTGCTGACCAGTCAGGAACCCGGGAGACAGGGCATTATGTGCCGCCCGGTTTCCTGATTGGTTAGGAAGCCAGGCTGCTTTGCAACTTGTGACATCGGCTTCCTAGCCAATCAGGGAGGCGGGTCCTGACCCACTGCTTGGCTTCCTGATTGAAAAGGAAGCTTGCTCCATGCTCCCTCAGCACTGCCGGTCAGAGGGAGATTTCCTGGAAGTTCCGGTGTGTAAGTTAAGTATCGTAGCATTTGAGCGAGTACGAGTATTCGCCCAAATACTCGGTATCGGCACTGATTATAGTATCGGTGCATCCCTAGTTTTAACCTTAGCTTGCCCAGTGGCTTTAAAGGAGAACTATGGGGTCAGTGTTTTTCCACATAGTTCTCCTTAGGGTAACGGGAGGACACAAACTAGCGTCCTCCCGTCACCCTAAGCTCAGTATACCGCGAGCTACAGCTAGCGGTATACTGAGACGCCGCTGCCGGAGCGGATCCCGACTTAGATGACGGGATCCGCACAGCTGCGTGAGTGACAGCTGGCTCTGCCTATCTATAGCAGAGCCAGCTGTACCCTCTCCCGTCCGTTCCGCCAGTCAGTGCTGGCAGATCCGAGCGGGGAGAGGGGAATCCCGCCCCTCCCCGTGTCACGACAGAGAGCCGTGACAGGATCGAGAGGCGAGCGAACCCGGCATGTGTTCGCTCGCCTCCCGATCTACTGAGCCGACCTGTGATAGTCTCATTGTCACAGGTCGGCTAGAACTATGAGGTGAGTGAAAAGCACTCACCTCATAGTTCTCCTTTAATATTTATTAGATAAAGTTATAGTGGGGAGTGGGATTCCACCTTCACAGCTTGACTGCGTATTTATCCCATAGTAGGGCGCTTTGGTCAGATTTTCCTCATCCTTTTAGCCTGAAATGTATGAAGGCAGAAGATGAGTTATTTCTTGAACAGCAGTTGCGACAGGCTTGGAATCATTTCTTAAAACTCTTGACTAATACAATGCAGTCAGACATTGCATGGCTTGTAATGCATACCACATGTTCAGGTTTCTTTGACAAAAGGTGACTTGACTTTCTTGCTTTGGGTTACATCTATCTGCACATCAGGCATTCCTTTCAGTGCGATCTAGCTTATTTAGCGTCAAATAAATGGGCTCCCCTAGTGCTACACATGACCTTTGTGAGCGAGAGCTACAGCTACACAAGTAGCGAATAATTTTGTATGTGTTTATAGTAGTCCAATTGTGAAAAATAAATGCAGTACAAACTACATAGTTCAAAGGTTGCCTGTGGCTGGAGTCACATGATATTGTAACTCAAGTAATCAAAAAACATTTAATCCAAGCTCTGTGCCTACTGCAGACTCAATAAAAAAAAAAAAAAAACGAATCCAATTGATAACTACTACATGTTGTGTTGCTTACATGGTAAGGAATTGTTTTTCACCCTTTTAGGCAACACTAAAGAGTAATTTGCATTAAGGTGCACTGCCAGCTTATTCAGAATGAATGTAGTGCTTTAATGCGAAGCAACATTCAGGCATGCTAGCTTGTTGCATTAAGCAATTGCAGTAAGGCAGCTTATAGTCTGAATGGGAGCTTCAAGTGTATCTAAACCCATAAACAACAATGTAATATATTACAGCTTGCCAGTAAGTACAGAAAAGATCTGATCTTGTCACAAATGCTGCGTCCTTGACACTTCCGGTGAACTTTAACGCAAGCAAAAACATTCTTATCTTTCTTGTGTAATCCGCAAACTCATTCATCTACCATGTAATAGAGAGGAAGAAAGGCAGGTGTATGTGTTAACCATGGCTGCCTCCATAGATACAGTGTAGAGATGAACACAGCCAGGAAGGAGCAAAAGGAATATATAAAAAAAAAAAAACTTGAAAAATAACTAATGCAACCTTTGCATCTGCGGCCTGATGAGCTGCAATTCATTCAATTTGGGGTGCTAGCCTAACCTGAAGAACAAAATAATAGGCTGCACTTGGATACTTCATTTAATCATTTTTAAGACATCTGTCACAAAGCTGTTCTTGTGATTCTCATGTCACCAACTAGATCTAATTATTTGGCTTCACTGCCCCAAGACTTAAACCTTCTCACACACTTATTTTAATGACAAATTGTCTTTAAATGTATCAAGCTGTAACAAATATTGGAAAAGATTTATGTACTGTGTTTAATAATTGCTGTTTATGTTGGGCAGCGCGTATTGGGTTTTTCTGTTCTTTAAATATAAAACGGTACAGTTCAATTTATATAGTTTTCTTCTAAAATAAAGTTTAACTCCTTGTGGCTTCTATTCTAGGGACCATATAGGGCTGCAAAATTGTTTCAGGTCCGGGTAATAAAGTATTTCTTTTTCAGATTTAAAAAAATAAGACTCCTGTCTTCATTTAAACAACCTTCTGACAAACATGCGTAATTCAAGCAATTCAAATGGAGCATATGATGGGAAACAATGGTATAAGTAGAGGTAGCCTATGGCAGTAAGAGAAAGACTGGTGATGACCTCATCATTGTGCTGATTTATTGCCAATCACCCAGTGACCAACTTAAAGGATAGAGTAGGAAAGGATTAAAACCCTACTTAGGTTTATAATACTGCCTGTGCCTCCTCTGAGGAGTTACATTGTCACCAGGACATAAAGTGATTGGAAATCCAAAGCAGGACAGGAAATGAGAAGAAATATTCCAGTGGGCATGGGATTTATAAAATGAAGACTGATTGGTTAGCGCACTCCGGTGGGGGAGGGGTGTCGTGGCCGTTGTGCGGCTCCTTATGTTATTTTGTGATACTGAACAGAAAAAAAGGAAGGGAAGGAGCGCAACTAACTGGCGCAGACTGTGTGGAAGGAGATTGAACAGGGAATAACAGTAAATGGAGGTAAATGGAAGTGGGAATGGAAATTAGACACTCACGTGATGGAATAGGTGGGCACAATGGGGGGTGATCTGGTGATGTTGTCATGAGGTCTGGTCGTGGTGATAGGCGTGTGTTCGGTGGGCAGATGTGGATCCTTGGGCATGGAGGAAAGATATGTCTTTAAGAAAGTGAGGGATAATCTCCCCCAAACCCCCCCCCTAAACATAACACACTGTTTGTCAAGAATGTCCTGACAAGTATTTGAAAAAAGCCAAGCTTCTAGTTACAAAGAGCAAGCTGAACATTTAAAGTACAACTAAAGACTGCCTTATGGCAGTCCAAACAAGTACCGAATGCAGTCACTATGTGATGGACAAACCGTATAAACAAAAAAAACAAACGTCCTTTAGCCTTCCTGATTGAACCAAATTCTCCTTTATTGGTGCCTTTAGTCTTGTTTGCATTACACCAATGCTGCCACTAGAGAGTGCTATTATTCCTCTACATATTTGAAAGCAGCTGAATGATTAGTAGTTTTTATAGTTGATGCCAAAAAATACTTGGGGCAGAGGAGTACCTGGAATATCTGACACTCGGGAATATCTTTGATCACCTGCCTCTGGTTTTAAAATATTTTCAGTAATATTGAAATTAAACAAATACTAACATTGTCCAGATAGCGAATGGAGGCAACTATAGAGTTATCAACTTTTCACACTATAGAGTCCACCCTACAGAGTGGACTCTATAGGGTAAATGCAGGCCTTTGCTCAGAGATTCTGCCTCTGATGCTGTGTCAGTAGCATAAGAATCGCCCATCTGTCATCACTCTTAAGCTGGCCATATACCTATCGATCTTTTTTCATTCAATCAATTGATGCGATTCCTCCTTCAACAGTGTGTCGATTGAGGACTCGCCACTGTTTACATTGCATTCTGACAGGTGCCGCCAGCACCTGTCAGAATACCTGATCAGAGCGGGCAGCTCATTGGCTGCCGGTTCTGATCGTACAAAGATTTTCCAGCCAGCATCTTTGATCAGCTGTCTTCCATGAGTGGTAATGCAATTCAGTGCACAGTCTGCTTTATGTATGCGCTCCTTTAACAACTGTTTGAGGGTGGTGTTGTGCTAGATGTGAGCAAGTTGCTTCTTTGGAAGCCCACATTCTGGATTTAAAAAAATCAACCGGCTACATTGCAGAGCATTAAAAACTCAGAGAGGAGTTTGGATCTCACCCATCAGTGTAGAGGAGGGTTAAGAGATGGAGGGGCAAGATCTAGGGGTAGAAAGCTGGAAAATCTTCATACGATCAGAGCCGGCAGCCAATGAGCTGCCCGCTCTGGTCCGGTATTCTGACAGGTGCCGGCGGCACCTGTCCGA